GCTAGTCTCTCTCCTGGTGCTCTCTAGGGCACTGGGCCCAAGAACACCAGAATCCGGGACAAGCCTTCCCGAGAGAGCACAACAGCGACGAGGGGAGGAAGACCCCAGGAGCAGAGGGCTGGCCAGGCCTGCCTCGCCTGCTAGGCCTAAGCGGCCTCGGGACCTGGCGGGACTGGCCGCTCCGTCCAGGATGTCCTCCCGTAGCGTCCACCCCGCGCGATCTCGGCGCCGTTGGCTGTCCGCTTGCACACATCCCCTGCCCTCTGCTTGGGTGCACTGCTGGTGCTCACTTGGCTGGCAGCAGCGTTTGTGTTGGCTCATCAGAGGGAAACCTGAGCCTCCAGTGTTGTTTACCAGCCAGGAATGAAGGAAGCATGATACCAACTAAGCAAGGCCCTAACCAGGTGGGTGGGCAGGACAGGGCTGCAGCTGAGGGGCTTGGGAGCGGCCCAGGACTGCAAAAAGCGCCGTGACACACCCAGGTATAGGAGGGTGGTAAAGGAGCAGGGGCCTGCCAGATGGGGATGTTCCCGGGCCTCTATCTCCGGGCCTCTATCCCCCCAGACCTCCGTCAGAGACAGGGCAAGGTTGCAAGACTTCCTCAAGTTCCACACACTTCCCTGCCGATGTCCTTCTTTCTGCCACATCATTTCCTTCTTACAGAATACTTCTTCTGTGTGTGTGTAGGGGGGGGGGGGGGTTCGGGAGTGGGGGGAGAGGGATGGCGCAATCCTGGTCTTGACCTCAGAGCCCGCTCAAAGCTAGCTCTCTACCATTTGAGCCACAGCTCTGCTTCTGGCTTTTTAGTGATTAAAGATGAGTCTCACAAGCCGGGTGCTGGTGGCTCAGGCCTGTAATCCTAGCTACTGAGGAGGCTGAGATCTGAGGATTGCGGTTCAAAGCCAGCCTGGGCAGGAAAGTCCGTGAGACTCTTATCTCCAATGAACCACTCGAAAACCAGAAGTGGTGCTGTGGCTCAAGTGGTAGAGCGCTCATGTTGAGCTGAAGAGTGCAGGGACAGTGCCCAAGCCCAGAGTTCAAGCCTCATGACCAACCAAAAAAAAAACAAAAACAAAAAGATAAGTCTCACAGACTTTCCTGTTCAGGCTGGCTTTGAACCATGATCGTTAGATCTTAACTTCCTGAGTAGCTAGGAGGATTACAGGTGGGAACCATCTACACCCAGACTCTTCTGTGTCTCTGAAGTTGGGCTGCAGCTGGCAATCACTAATGCGTCAGCTTGGCAGACTACACTAAGGCAGCATTCTTTTTTTTTTTTTTTTTGGTCCGGTCGTGGGGCCTGAACTCTGGGTCTGGGCGCTGTCCCTCAGCTCTTCAGCTCAAGGCTAGCGCTCTACCACTTGAGCCACAGCGCCACTTCCGGCTTTTTTCTTTTTGCTTATGTGGTGCTGAGGAATGGAACCCAGGGCCTCAGGCATGCAAGGCAAGCGCTCTAACACGGAGCCACCTTCCCAGCCCTAAGGCAGCATTCTTGATGGTAGGGTCAAATCTGAGGCTCCTCAGACGGGCGTCCAGCCCACAGGCCTCCCCCCAAAGCCTCTCCATCAGTGCACGTCTCCCGGCCCACTGCCTGCACCCCAACTCACACACACCCCAACAGCCACAACAGCCTCCCCGCTGAGCTACTCAGGAAACTTGAGATCTGAGGATCACAGTTTGAAGCCAACCTGGCAGAAAAGTCTGTGAGACACTTATCTCTAGCTAAACAGCAAAAATCTGAAAGTGCAGGCCTGGCTCAAATGGTATAGCACATCCTTGAGCAAAACACCCAAGCAAGAATGAGAAGCCTTGAGTTCAAGCTCCAGTACCAACACAGAAAAAAGAAAGGGGGGGAAGGGGGAAAGGAAGAAAGGAAGGAAGAAAGGAAGAAAGGGAGGAAGGGAGGAAGGGAGGAAGGAAGGAAGGAAGGAAGGAAGGAGGGAGGGAGGGAGGGAGGGAGGGAGGGAGGGAGGGAGGAAGGAAGAGAAGGAAAGAAAGAAAGAGAAAGAGAAAGCATAAAGGAAGCAAAGCCCTGCTGATCACTAAGCATGAGACCAAACAGTCTGAGGTAACTGGACTCATGGGGGAGAAGGCCTAGAAAAGCACATGGGACTGGAGAGACCCTAGCTACAGCCATGGGCTGACCACAGCAACTCATGTGTGGGGCAGTTCACACACTGTTCACCATTGACAGTTGGACCAGGAAAAAATCACCCCACAATGCCCCCTCTCAAAGGTGGGGTGGCCTGCCACCCAGCAGAGGTGACCCAATGCCCACCAGCACCCTGCCTGGACCTTCAGGGCACAGCCAATGGTTCCCCTGGCCCTCCGCAAGCCTGCTTCAACAGCCGCGGCAGCCCTGGCAGGTTTCTGAAACGCCCAGTCTCCAGGCACAGCCACGAGTCTCTGCCGAGGGACAAGGACAGGGTCTTTCGGACGGCCGTGGGCAGTTTCCTTCTCCACAGGACTCTTGGTGGGAGGCAAGAAGTGGGAGATAAAGCAGCACAGGGGCAGGAAGCCCGAGCCCATCGCAAACTGCCAGACATGGCCACGCGTCCAGGGACGCTGCGCGCGGGACTGATACTGCCGTCCAGCAAGGCGACAACAGGTGTCTCCAAGTAGAACACCTGCGTGCGGACCACTCCATCTTAGCCTGGGAGAACTACAGGAAGTAACCTACCAGCCAATCGGGGGCTGGCGGGGGGGACGGGGGGCTGGCCGTGGGACGGGGCTGGCAGGAGGACATGGGACAGGGGCTGGCCGGGGGATGGGGCTGGCCGGGGGATGGGGCTGGCCGGTGAACAGGGGCAGGCCGGTGAACAGGGGCAGGCCGGGGGCCGGGGCTGTAACAGGCAATTGGGCCTGGCCAGGGGCCGGGGGCCGGGGCTGGCTGGGGGACGGGGCTGGTCGGGAAATGGGGCTGGCCGGGGACAGAGATTGGCAGGGGGAGGGAGGCTGGCCAGGAGATGGGGGCTGGCTGGGGGACAGGGCTGGCCGGGGGATGGGGCTGGTGGGGAGCTGGGGCTGGCTGGGGATGGGGGCTGGCTGGGGGATGGGGGCTGGCTGGGGGATGGGGGCTGGCCGGGGGGATGGAGGCTGGCTGGGGGACGGGGCTGGTGGGGAGCTGGGGCTGGCTGGGGGCTGACCGGGGGATGGGGCTGGCCGGGGATGGGGGCTGGCTGGGGGACAGGGCTGGGCGGGGGGATGGAGGCTGGCTGGGGGACGGGGCTGGTGGGGAGCTGGAGCTGGGGCTGGCTGGGGGCTGACCGGGGGATGGGGGCTGGCTGGGGGCTGGGATGGGGCTGGTTGGGAGCTGGGGCTGGGCGGGGACTGGGCTGGGGGGGACTGGGAGCTGGGGGGGGGGCCAGGGGATGGGGGCTGGCTGGGGGCTGGCCGGGGGGATGGGGGCTGGCGGGGGCGGGGGACGGGGCTGGCCAGGGGGACGGGGGCTGGCTGGGGGGGGATGGGGGCTGGCCGGGGGGGATGGGGGCTGGCTGGGGGGATGGGGGCTGGCTGGGGGCTGGCCGGGGGGACGGGGCTGGCCGGAGGACGGGGGCTGGCTGGAGGGATGGGGGCTGGCCGGGGGGGGACGGGGGCTGGCCAGGGGGGACGGGGGCTGGCCGGGGGGGGATGGGGGCTGGCTGGGGGGATGGGGGCTGGCTGGGGGCTGGCCGGGGGACGGGGGCTGGCTGGAGGGATGGGGGCTGGCCGGGGGGACGGGGGCTGGCCGGGGGGGATGGGGGCTGGCCGGGGGGGATGGGGGCTGGCTGGGGGCTGGCCGGGGGGATGCGGGCTGGCCGGGGGGATGCGGGCTGGCCGGGGGGACGGGGCTGGCCGGGGGGATGCGGGCTGGCCGGGGGGACGGGGCTGGCCGGGGGGATGCGGGCTGGCCGGGGGGACGGGGCTGGCCGGGGGGACGGGGGCTGGCCGGGGGATGGGGACTGGCTGGGGGCTGGCCGGGGGGACGGGGCTGGCCGGGGGGACGGGGGCTGGCCGGGGGGACGGGGGCTGGCCGGGGGGACGGGGGCTGGCCGGGGGGACGGGGGCTGGCCGGGGGACGGGCTGTGACCAGCACCCGGGCCTGGCGGTCCCCCGAAGCCTCCCTCCCCGCCGTCCCGAAGCCCCCACGCCCAGCCAGCCCCAAGTCCCGCCAGGGGCCTCGTGCGGAGCCGGTCGGGCGTCCCCGGCCCCGGGCTGCCCGTGCCCTCGGCGGCCCGCCGCTCCGTCGGCTCCGGAGGACCGGGCCGCCCCCCCGCGCTTCCGCCGGCCCGCGCCGCTTTTGTCACTCGGGGCCGGGGCGGCGGGCGGCGGGGCCGGGAGCCCGGGCAGGGCCCGTCCGGACGGCGTCCGCGGCCGGTCCCGGGCCCCCGGGGCCGCGGAGCCGCCACGCGCGCGTCCGAGCTCGGACGGGAAGGCGTCGCCCCGCGACCGCCGGCCCCGGCCACGTCCGCGCCGCCTCCCCCACGCCGCGCCGGCCGCGCCCCTCCCCGCGACCCCGGGCGGGGCGGCCGGGCTCCCGCGGGGACGGCGCCGGCCCCGCCCCGCCGCCGCCGCCCGCCCCGCCGCCGCGCCCGCCTCACCTCGCTCGGCCCGCCGCCGCCGCCGCCGCCGCTGCCTGAGGGCCGACCGGAAGTGACGCCGCGCTGCGCAGGCGCCGCCGGTCACGTGGGCGCCGGCGTCGCGCGGGCCTTCGCGGGGCCCGGGCGCGGGGCGAGGCCCGGCGGGGCCGACCGAGGCCGGGAGGCCGGGAGGCCGGGAAGACCGTAATGGGGGAAACCGGGGTCCAGACATCAGGCCAGCACCCCGGGCTCGGGAACCGCGTTTATTGAAGAAGTACAAAGTGTCAGCCTACAAAACCCTGAGGAGGAAGCCGCTGAGGGCCGGGGCGGCGGGCGGCGGGCGGCGGGCGCAGCCCCGGCCCCGGCCCCGGCCCCGGCCCCGGCCCCGGCCCCGGCCCCGGCCGCCCCGCCGCGCCGCCGCCCGCCACGCCGCCGCCCCCGGCGGCCCCGGCCCGGCTCAGCCCATGCTCGCGCCGCGGAAGAGCTCCAGCAGGTCCTGGAAGTCCGGGTCGATGAGGTCGGAGGGCAGCGCGCCGTCGTCGTTGGCCGCCGCTCTGTCGGCCCCCAGGGAGATGAGGTACCTGGGGGCAAAGGAGCCGTTGCCGCGCGCGGCGCCGCCCCAGGGCCGCCCGGCGCCGCCTCTCGGTGCCGTGCGCTGGGTGAGGAGGCCGAGGCCGAGGGCAGCGCGGCGCCGGCGCCCCGGGCTCCTGGGCAGCGTCCGGCCGCTTCCGGGGCCGTGGCTCGTGCCCGTCCCTCTCACCTGGCTATGTCAGGGTACCCATCGCTGCAGGCCATGTGCAGAGACGTCCAGCCCGTCTCGTCCCGCTGGTGAATGTCGGCCCCATATTTGACCAGCAACTTCACACACTCCAGGTTTCCTGACAGCACGGCTTCATGCAGAGCAGCCAGGCCTGGGAAGGGTGCAAGGGCAGGGGTCAAGGCACTGTCCGGTGCCCCCGCCCCTCCAGACCCTCTTCCACGTCCTCGGCACCCACTCACCAGAGGGGTGGATGGTGTCCAAGGAGACTTTCCTAGCACGGATAAATCGGCCCACCTGTGCCAGGTCACCCTGGCGGATGTGGTCCAAGAAGAGAACATCATTAGGAAAATGCACGCTGCGATCGGCCAACAGCCGCCGGCGCCGCTGCTGGGGGCTGTAGCGGGAGTAACGGACAGTTCTACTGGGCATCCTGGGGACTGAGGTGGACCGCCCCTCGAGGGACCCTGTGGTAAGGTGAGGAATACACAGGCCAGACCTGATAAGCCTACAGGCTCTTGGTCCGCCAGACACCCCGCTTCCCGCTTATATAGGGTGTACAGAGCTATATAAAGCCACACAGTCATGCTTGGAGACCTGAGGACCCGAAACTGAGCTCCTCACTCCCGGAGGGCAGGATCAGGTTTAGCGACTCATCTTTCAACACACCTGTTGCCATGTCCAGCCAAAGGGGTCAGATCCTTCCTGGCTACTGCTTTCTGCTCCACAGCTGGACCTAGAAGGTCCTTTTGCCTTACAGAGGGCAAAAGAAGGAGCCCACGAGGAGAGCTTGGGTGGGCTGGAGGGCTGGGCAAGACCCAAAGGTGTCGGGAGGCCTGAGCGGCTGAGACTGGCCAAGATTGGCCTTGCCCTTCCACATCTCACTGCACGCGCCTACCTCCTGTGACCTAAGTGGCTGCCTCTTCACAAGAGGGTATGGGTTTATCACACCATGTTGTGGAGGAGATTGGGGCCTCATACATCCCTTGCCTGTCAACTCTTCAGAGTCATGGCTTCTAAAACCCAGAATTGCCTGAAAAGGACAGCTTTCTGCTCAGGAGCCTGCCACCACCCTGGGCAGGATCTCAGCGAGGAGACTCCTGTTAGGCCCCCCTCGGGTTGACCTCCCCCACCGCACTTGCTTCTGCCTGACATCCTTCCTTTAGCTCCAGGTTCTGGACATGCTCCCCCTAAGGATGGTGTCCCTCCCTGCTGAGGAGCAGGACTGTTACAGGTAGTGTGTCCCTGCCCCCCCCCCCCCGCCCCCATTCAGCAGGCTTGCATTGGCAGCTTGCATTTGGACTTCTTTGTTTTGTTTTGCTGGTCCTGGGGCTTGAGCTCTGGGCTTGGTGCTGTTGCTGAGCTTCTTTTTGCTCAAGGCTATCACTCTACCACTTGAGCCACAGCACCACTTCTGGTTTTTTCTGAGTAGTTTATTGGAGCCTGCCTGGGGCTGGCTTCACACCGTGATCCTCAGATCTCAGTCTCCCGAATGGCTGGGATGATGGTGCAAGCCACCAGCGCCCTGCTTGTTTTTTGAGGGTCAAGATGGTGGTTGGCCTTGGGCCATGGTAGCAGAGCTGAGCCAGGGGAGCCCAGAGGTGGTCATGGCTCCTGCCCACCTGGTCCGTCCCCTTGCCCCTAGAAGCTGTCACTGAGCCTGCCAGGGCTGTTGTGGCAGAGCGCCCCAGCCTGGAGTTGGTGCCCAGTCTCATGGTTCGGAGGCGCAGGTGTCGGCAGGGCACGTCCTTGAAAAGCTAATGGAGGGTCTGTTCTAGACTCAGCCCAGCCCTGAAGGTTGCTGTGCATTTTGGTGTTTCTTAGTTTACAAAACCATCATCTGGTGTCTACGCTTGCCTCCTCCTGGCTTCTTCCTGTGTCCTTCCAAACCCTCTGCCTCACACTGTATCTGATAATCATGTTCTAGGCTGCCTGGGCCTCACACTCCTGGCCCTCCCAGCAGAGGGGGGCTTAGGTCTCCCCTTCTTCCCAGTCAGACTCCCCTTATAAGGATTTCGGAGCCAGGCGCCGGTGGCTCACGCTGTCATCCTAGCTACTCAGGAGGCTGAGATCTGAGGATCGCGGTTCAAAGCCAGTTCGGGCAGGAAAGTCTGTGAGACTCTTATCTCCAATAAAAACCACTAGAAAATGGGAAGTGGCGCTGTGGCTCAAGCGTGGAGCGCTCACCTTGTGCTGAAGAGCACAGGGACAGTGCCCAAGCACAGAGTTCAAGCCCCACGACTGACCAGGAAAAAAAAAAGGATTTCGGGCCCACCCTACTCCTACTCCATTGGGACCGTATCTTAGCCAGCGTGCCAGCAATGATTTTCCCAATAAAATCTCATTTGGAAGCAGGGGGGAATGTGAGTCAGTCCACCAGCGGTAAGATGCTTCAGGTAGCAGTGGGAGAAGGAGAACTGACTGCCAGTTGCTCTGCAGGGCCGGGCAGCGGGGAGGCAGGCCTCGCCTCGTATCATCAGACGTTTGCAGCCAACAAGGTCAAATAATCACAGTGTCTTACACAGCAGGTGAAAAGCCGTGGGACGCAGACTACGGAAGAGACGGTGCCGGCTGGGCCGCTTTGCCTGGCAGGGGTTTTTCGGTGCCTCAGTACCAGAGCAGCTCGGGTGTTTCCTCTGTCACTCATTCCAGAAACTGGCAAGACTGGCCCACTGTGACTCCACTGGGTGGTTCCCATGTCTGCATTTCCAGGGGCCAGGAGGGAAGTGCTGGTCACATGAACCTCTGGTCACATGGGAGGTGTCAGATGCCGGTTCTTCTGACTTGTTTACACGTTGAGAGACACTAGCCAGGTGAGAGGACCCTGCTTTGACATGGAGATTGCCTTTTCTCCTGTTGTGGAAAAGTTCTGGCTGCACTGCCAGCTCTGAGGAGCATAGAGCTGGGCGAAGCGCACGAGCTGGGGCACCAGCAGGATGGCTCTGGTCAGTAGTGTCGGCCTAGGCAAATCTGTCGGGCCTGGCCTCTCCTGTGACCCGTGAGCTGAGAGCAAAGCTTGTGTTGGTTTGGATCAGAGAAGGATCTGGTCCCTGAAGCCTTCCAGCAGCTGTGGACCCTCCAGAAGGGAATGTCAGGCCTTGTTCTAGCAAGTTCCTGGGAACTGTTCACACATCTGGATGTACCTGTCCTTTTTTGTATGTCTGTTTAGCAGTACTGGAGTTTGAACTCAGAGCCTTCTACCTTGAGCCACATGACCAGCCTGTTTTTTTTCTTTTGCTGGTGTGTGTGTATGTGCATGTGTTCATGAATGTACGCATGTACACATTGGTACTAGAGCTTGAACTCAGCCTCACATTCGTGCTCTGCTGTGTGGGCTGTCCCCATGATCTCCACCTCCTGAATAGTTAGGATTACAGCCATGAGCTATGATGCCCAGCTCACATCTTGCTTTTTTAAAAACTGGCCATGAGCTGTCCAGCCTGTTGTGGTAGTAAAACAGGGAGGCATCAGGACTAAGCCTGTAGTTAGGTGGCTGTGTCCTTGGTCAGTCCTGCGGCTTTAACTCAGGGTCTGGGTGCCGTCCCTGAGGGGTTTTCTTTGCTCATGACTAGCATTCTACCACTTGAGCCACAGCTCCACTTCTGGCTTTTTTGGTGATTGATTGGAGACAAGAGTCTCATGGACTTTTCTGCCTGGTTGGCCTTGAACTACGATCCTCAGATCTCAGCCTCCTGAGTAGGTAGAATTGCAGGCATGAGCCACTGGTTGATATCTAGCTCCCTTGATTCTTCATAGTATGGACTAGTTCATTGTGATTTAAATTTTCTTTTAGAAGGATAAACTATGTGAAAAGATTAAAATGTCCAACGAGTGCCACCAGCAGTGTCCTACAGAAAACATACTGCCTGGAGACTATAAGGGAAGTTGGCATTGCCCCAAGGCAGGGCTGCCAGGGCAGGGTGGCCTCCTGTGTGGGCTCCAAGGACCCCTGGGACAAGACCTTAACCTGAGATCTTATTTTTTAGTGTTGGGACAGTTGAGTTGAACTGAGGGCCTTGGTGCTGTCCCTGAGCTTTTTTGCTCAAGGCTGGTGCTCTACCCTGTGAGCTACAGCGCTACTTCCAACTTTTTGGTGGTTAATTGCAGAGAAGGGTCTCTTGGATTAGTCTAGGCTGACTTCAAACCTTGATTGCCAGCTCAGCCTCCTCAGCTGTTAGCGTTATAGTAGTGGGTCTCTGGCTCCTGGCTCTGACATCTGCTTCTTTAACCTCCAGGCCAGAGACAGATTCTCACTATGTGGAGAGAACAGATTGGCAACTCGCAGCAACTAAGCTTTTGCTGCTTTCCCTCTGAGCCTGCAAGCTGCCTTGCTCATTTAGCCAGAGCTTCTGGAGACCACCCTGCAGCCTCCCAACACAGCCTAGGCCCAGGAATGCACTCATCAGCTGCTTCTGCAAAAGGGGAAAGGTATCTGAGACTCACTCCCCTCCCTGGAGGGCGTGATGTTTCTGCTTGGTACCAACTTTCTGTGAAGAGGCCAGGTCTCCGCACAGCTGGGCATCAGGCCCACCCACTCTGTCCTGCTAGGGAGGGGCCAACATATCCTTCCAGCCCGGTCTCAGCTCCAGGTGTCAGGCTCACATCGTTGGGGAACTGAGCTAACATCTTCCTACCTAACCTCCAAGTGGACATTAACTATATACCTTTATGTTGGCAAGACTCAGGCCAAACTCTGTGATCCTCATGTCTCAGCCTCCTGAGTGGCTGGGATTATAAGCACAAGCCACTGGTACCTTGGATCTAGTTACCTTTGAAAAGCCAGGAAGTGTCCTCTTTTTAACACCAGATTTCCCCCAGGGTGCGAGCCCCCCCCCCCCCCCCCCCCCCCCCGCCCCGTTTCTACCGGAGGCTGGTAATAAGCTTAGCAACCTTGCTTATCTTTGAGGTTTGATCCACCTGAATTCTCAAAAGATAGCTCAGCTGTAATTGCAGTGACCACCACCAGCCCCCCCCCCCCCCACCGGGGGCCCAGACAGCTATACCCCGGCTGGGCCTGTGGGGTGGCTGTACTTAGGAATGATACACACAGTAAAAGTAACAACTGGTACTAAAATTTCAACTTTATTTGGCCAATGTGTTCAATTCCAATATTGTGGTAGAAATGCCTGAAGAATGGGCATTGTCTGGTCCAGTCCATGTCCTTGGCTCGGTCTCAGCCTGGGAGACCCACTGGAAGAAAGCCCGGTGGCCACAGAGCAATGTGCCACAGCAGATAGGTGCAGACTCCTGGCTTGAGAGCAGGGGACTTGTCCAGGTTCAGGGTCGCGGCACCCTCTCCTCCAAGCATGGCAGGCCCACACAGACAGGACCCAGACGTTTCCTTTAGCTAGAAACCGCAAAGCCAGGCTGGCAGCACTGGCACAGGGTGGAGGAGAGCAATGCGTCCAGCCCAGGCTTGTCCTTCCCATCCCAGGAGACTGGTGTCTCCCAGAGAGGCCTGGCCTCAGTGGAACAAATACCCTGATGTAGGGACATGCCTGAACGTCCCACACAGATGGAACTAAGTGAGACATTATCAGTGTGAGTTCCCAAACATTTAGCAAGCACTCAAGACGAAACTCATGTACAAAAAAGTACATCATGGTTTAAAAAATTAAGCCCATCAAGATGGGCTGGCCTGGAGATGAATCCCTTTCCAAAAATTGAAAAGCAAAGGAAGAGATGGGTGTAAGTGTACGCGTGTGTTAGAGTGAGTGTGGCTTTGGAAAGATCCCTGGGTTCCGAGGGTGCTCCCTCCTTGGGCAAGGGTCAGGCTCCGGAGGCGTGGGCTGCTGGGTGGAACACGGCCCAGCAGGTCCAGCAGGCCCAGCATGGCCATGGAGGCGTCAGGTTGGGGTGCCCAGGTCTGTCTGCTCCATTACAGTTCATCTCTCACAGCTTTCTGATCATCATCTTCCTCCATGTCCGGCTCTAGGGCTTCTTCCAGGTCCAGGTCCTAGATCCATGGGGGGGGGGGGGGGGGGGGGGGGTGGAGGTGTGGTTCAAGGTCCCGGGGGTATGGGAGCAGGAGGCCACACAGGAGCTGGCCT